AATGAGTGAAAATAGTGAAATAATAAGACTGCGTTCGGTTTGGGCGCTCGCACGCTGTAAGCATTATTCTATCTTCGTTGCACATCGAATATCAAACGAAGAGAGAGAGAGAGAGAGCGATGCTTCCAGCGCGTGAGCGCCCAAACCGAACGCAGCCTGAGTGAGTGAGACAGACATAAAACAAAAGGTGATCTCTACGACATCTACTGTTTTCAACGGGCACGCGTCGTCCGCATGTATTCTCGTCTACTGTTTGCAACGGGCACACGTCGTCCGCATTTCGTGTGCCGGGTGCCGGTATCGCCATTCTTGCTCGTGTCTAATCTTGCTCGTGTGTAATCTCGCTCGTGTTGTAATCTCGCTCGTGTTGTGATCTTGCTCATCTCCTATAAGTTTGACTTGTTCAAGAATTGAGAAATGGCTACAAGTAGTGCAATACATCTGCTGACTGCTTGGGGACTTAACCAAGAAGTAATACGCAATTTCTTAGGTATGTATAATAATCTATATATATATATATATATATCTCTCTCTTTCTCTCTACACACACACACACACGCGCGCGCGCGCGCGCGTAGGTACAGCATTCATGTCGGTGCGTGTGCATACGTGTGTATATGTGTACACGAACGATATCTATGCCGGTTCGTATGTACATGTGTGCACTTCCCAGCGAGAAATGATTCGTCGATCGACGTCGAAATGATGTCGAATCGACGTCAATTCGACGGTGTCGATGTCGATTCGATGTCGTTTCGACGTCGATTGTCGAATCATTTCTCACTATTGTCCGTGTGCATGCGTGTGCGTGTGAATACGTATGGTACGTTCGCGTGTGCATGCATGTGCGTGTGAATACGTACGTGTGCGTGTGTATATGTGTTCATACGTGTGTGTACGTGTGTGTACGTGCATGTGTACGTGCGTGCGTGTGTGTGTGTGCGCGCGCGCTTACTGCTTTTCTTTTCTTTCGCAGTATTACATAAAATTTCAGAAAGAAAATTACGATTTATTTTGAGATATATTCAGTAATATTTCACTAGCTTTTATTTTATTTTTCATTAATTTTATGATGCTTTCGGCATAATATTTCCATCAAGGTTTGTTTTGTTATTAACAGATCAAGAAATAGAAGTCGATCAATTAAATGATTTGACAGAAGATCTTAAGATTTTGATACCTAACATTGGACCTCGACGAAAATTCCAAAACAACTTAAGAAAGTATTTAGATAAGGTATTCGTTGTATATTATTTTTTTAAATTATGTTATGTTGTTCTGTCATCTTTTCCTTAGGATTGCAACTGATCTGTCTATTAATATTTCAGATTACACCAAAATCCGTTGAAAATATTGATTCAAATAGTCAACTGCTACAAACCATACAGCAAGAAGATTTAAGTATTACAAACTCATCGATAAAAAGACGAAGAACTGATATTGAGGCACAATCTTCATCACCAAAGCAATATTACGATGTAGACAATAATGTTACGAATATTTTAGAAGATTTCATTCCAACTTCTCCATCTGAATCTCTATCTACATCTGCAGCGAGTACAGAATTTAATGGTAAGAATTTACAGAATTCCAGCAAACACAGGACATTGAAACAACGTTGCGGCAATGTTATAACGTTACTGTAACGTTGCTACAATATTGCGCAATGTTCTATGTTTGCTGGGATATTATTAATCTTTGTTTAATTATAATAATTTACACAAATTTAATAAATATAATAAAATTAATATAATTTATACTTGTTCATATAAAAACTTACAATATACTGTGTTTTTATTGTCATAAGTGTCTTTATTTCGCTGCTAATGCATTCTCTTTTCAGTTACAGTGTTACCAAATAAGTGCAATGTTACCATATCTGCAGAAACAGAGCAACATGCAACAACTGATAATGAATATGTAAGATATAATTCGCTTTTAAAATATTCTTGAAATAATACGTATATACATATATTATAGTAAATATGTTTTATATTTCATATTACATTTAGTCTGTTTATGATTGCAGAATCTGGAATCTATATTGAATAAATCTGAGGACGGACAGCTTGTGCTTAGCGTATATAAAAGTCAAGGAAAATTAAATAACGACTTACGCAATAAATTAGCAAAACTGAAACGACTCTCCGTTGGGTTAATTTGCGAACCGGATTTAGCTCGTCGGGCAGGAGTTCGCGGCAGAGTCAGGGCACGACAATGATTACGACAGTTTGACGAAACAGCGGATTTATTTATGAACAGATAAAGGATTATTTACACGTCGACGATGATCGGTTTATAACGAGGTATTACGCGTGCGAAGATGATCGGTATTTTACAATGGAGATGGTCTATATGTACAGATGAGTTTTTACGCGCGCGCTGAGATGGTCGGTATGTACAGCGCGTGTTTACGCGGCTTCACGGCCCGCGAGCGAGGGTAACGGTGCGCGGCGCGGGGCGGTACGGGGCCGGCCGCGAAGCGATTTAAAGAGCCACGCGGTGATTTACGGCGTCGTGGCTCGACGCGCGGCGGCGCGAGTCCGGGCCGTTTAAAGGGCCCGGCGTGATTAATCGGCGGATCGATCTTCCCCCTTCGCGGTGAGACTCCGTGGATGTTAGTGCGGTGATTTTGGTGCGGACGCGCCGGATGCCGGTAACAACCGGCGGGGGCGAGTCACTCCTCACCTCCCTCTCAGTCCGGGCACGCCGGGGCGTTCTGGACTCGATGCCCGGTGGACAGCGGTAAAACCCGCTGGGGGCGAGTAACACCTCGCCTCGCTGTATCCACCGGAATCGAGAGTAGGATTGCGAAAGACTGCGGTAGCAAGAGCTGAGCCGTGAACTCCCGGCAGAGGCGAGTTGCTCCTCACCTCGGATCAGCGCTTCTCGAGCAGACTTTAGCGGATAGGATTCGGAGCGGGCTTCGTTGTGATCGGAACTAGGCGGTCGCGGAATCTGCCTTTTTCGGCTCCGGGACCGTCTTTTATACCCGTCTACCCCCAATTGCTTTTTAGCAATTTTCGGCGGGTAGGGGTAGACGGGTCGGGGTAGCGTGTTTGCGCGCTTGCGCGGCCGGGTGACAGCGCGCCACGCGTGTCTCGCCGGCTCGGGCGCGCTCGGTTGGTCCCGCGGGCGATCGGTTCGCCCGCGAGCGCGTCGTGTAACGTGCTTAGGCGGTGAGCGCCCCGTGCGCTCACCCTTCGCCCGGTGGTTGGCGGCATCCGGCTCTTGCCGGGAACGATGCGTTTTTGGGTGCGTTTTGGTGCATCG